TTTATGTTATATCTTCTTATATCTTAATTCGCTGGAAGAACAAGCTATAATAGTATATGAATTGTTGCAAATCCAGGAACATATCAAGTGAATTTCCAGAAACAGCAAGTTATTGGATTAATTAGAAATCTGAGTCTTAGATAATAACAAGATAATTCAGGATAAAACTGTTTTCTTTTTTATTATTTCACATTCGATATCCAGGTATTATAATTTTAATGCAACCTTGAATAGAATGGTGTATAAATCAAGACCTATGTTAACTAATTCTAAATGAAATATAAAAATAAAACAAAAGCTGTTAAATGCATGCCAACAGATATTTTTAAAACAAAAAAAAAAAAAAAAAAAATTATCTCTACAATGCCAACTAAATATTCATCAGCCAGAGGTCTAATAATACTAAATAAGCTCTTTAGAAATCAGGAATCTGCTCTTAGAATCTCCCCATCCACTGATATTTTTCTTTTAGAAGTTTCCAGTCTTTCGAAAAACATTTAGTTAATTTCACAAGAGTCATAGCTCAAGATATTCTTATTTTTTTGTTACCAACATATTAGTCGATTTTCTTTTGTTAGCAACATATAATGTCGTGACAATATGACTCAAGATCCTATTATTATTTTTCACTGCCAACATACACTCTGATCACTCAGCATGATTTAACTATAGGTAACTTATATTGAGGTTCAAATACAGTTATTTTCCTAGACATAACACATTTACACTGTGTTATGTCTAGGAAAATAACATTAGTATACAGTTCTAATAGCAGAAAATATTAAATAAATATTTTCTGCTATTAGAACTGCATACTAATTAAAGTATTAATTATTTTTTATTAATAATATATATTAAAATGTACACAGATTTTCTGGATTAAAATAATTTAATAAATTTGTAAGTATAACTAATTAATATAGCATTTTAAGCATTTTATCAGTTTCTACCACCAGCAAGAATTATGTTTTGCCTGCAGAAAACAGATCTTCATCATTTAGCAATGAGCATTAGAAAGATTTAAAACAATAAATTTGTTCTCAAATATGTCTACAAGTTCTATATGTAAAGATGTTAATCATTATATGTTTGATTTAATAAAATATAGTGGAAATTTTACTCTGAAAAGATCATTTAAAAAGTTAGATTTTATATTTTAAGTGTCTTTTGATACCCTAATGCTTAAAATTTTTCTGTAATTAATTTTTTATAATGAAAATTGCCTTATTTTTAGAGTTTCTTTAATTGAAAGTACATGAAAGCCTATAATCTTTTCTTTTACCACATCAAAGGGAACCTCTTTGGGATATTTATTGTTTTCTGTTTGTGAATTTTTGCGTCCTGATAAAATAGAAACTATATATTTATTGCAAGTTTCATATGTTGAGTTAAATGCTCAGCTAAGTCTTAAATAATTCCTTTCTTTGTTAAGAAAGTGAATAAGTCTTCAGATGAAGGTAATTTAGGATGAAATAATGCCGTTACAATTTTTTTTCTCTCTAGAGCATTGCTATTTCTAACAGTTAATTTTAAATGTATGGTCTTTATGTTCTGTATCTCAAATTCCCAAGGGATTAATTCATAAATCAATAAGCTAATCTTTTTTAGCTTAAATTTGTTTTAGGTGTTAAACTGAAACTGGCATCAGCACATGAAGATTAAATGACATATTTTTAATTTTATATTTTTTATATATTTAAATACTTCATTAACCTTTTTCAGAGTTGCCAACTCTCCCGATTTTCGACCGCTCTCCCGCCAACCCGATTTACAATATATTTCTCCCGACTTTTTCTTATTCTTAATATTTCTCACGATTTTTATGGAACTTGGCTTAATACTTCGTTATATGAACCAAAAAAAAAAGTGATTTTGGACGTCTGAAAGCAACTGAATTTTCTCTAGTTTATATCTAAAATGAAACCTTGCGAATCAGATTAGAATTTCTGCTTTGTGATTGACAGCATACGTATCCAGAAATGTTCGTTCTCCAGTTCTCCAATGGGCATCGAGCTCCCACTGCGTGTCATCTGGCATATATTAGCCAATGAGCTCAAAGCAAGCTCAAGGCTGTTATTTGGATGTTCTTTACTCTTTAGTTATTTCGTTCATCTTGTTCTGAGTTGTGTGAGTACACATGCCTTCGGGAAATAGGTTTTAGAAATTATCGTCTTTTGTTATGTCTGCGAGGAAGGTGAAATACTTCGTGTACGTTTCAAAAATTCGTACACAGTTGACTTTCCTTCCATTATTTCCTCAAGGAAATGTAATAAATTTGCGAGGTGTACCATCTGTCGTTGCGATTTTTCGATTTCGCTTGGTGGAAGGGCAGATGTTCTCAAAGATGTGCGTACACAAAAACACAAGGACAACATGAGTTGTTTTGAAAAAACGAAAAATTAAATTTTTCTTCGGAAACAAAAGACTAAAAAGTGATTAATGCAGAATGTCTGTTCTCTGCCTTTTTACTGGAGCACAACCTGCCACTGAATGCATTGGATCACGCTGCAGCTTTATTTAGAAAAATGTTTCCCGATAGTGAAATCGTTAAGAAATACTCAAGTGCAAGGACCAAAACAGGTGCAATTGTTAAAGAAATGGGTTTGAAAAATAAATCTTCAGTTATTGATTGCATTAAAACAGCTCCGTTCTGCCTCTCTCTACGGATGGAAGCAATAATACCAATTCAAAACTGTATCCAATTGTTTGTTTCTTTTTTAATCCAGAGTCTTCAGAAATGAGTGCAGTTTACTTTCTGTCTCCACTTTAGAAGGACATTCGACAGGCTTTAATATAGCACAGCTAATTATTAAAACTTTAAAATAAAATGCAGTCCCTCTCGATAATTGCTTAGCGCTTGGTGCCGATAATGCACCAGTAATGGTAGGCTTGAAGACTGGTGTTGCAGGCATCTTAAGAAAGGCAAATTCAGATTTTCAGATTATGAGGTGCACCTGTCACCTCTTAAATTTAGCAGCTGAAAAGGGGGCAGCTTCTTTACCATTAAATGTGGATGAACACATTGTTGATATTTATTATTATCTTGAAAGGAGTTCTTAAAGAAAGGAAAAATTGAAACAGTTCCAACAGCTGCATAATACTGAAATGAGAAAAAATTTTGATTTTTTGTAATTCTGATCATTCAGAATTCAACTGGCAGTTCTCAAATAATACTGCAAAATATAGCGTAAAGCTGATACAAATTTCTCTCAAAATAAAAAAAAAAAAAATTGCTCAACACCACGAAACTTTTCCGATTACTGGTAAGTTTATCTTGTGAAGAACGAATATTTATGTTTTTTTCTTCAGACCTTAACAAAGCTTTTTGCTTTTTTTTTTTTTTTTTTTTACAATTCATTTTGTCATCATTCGATGTTCTGAACACAATTCTACAAAGCAGAATTCCATTAATTCATGTTTCGCAATCAATGATTTATGATCTGTTTAAAGACATTTTATCAAAGTTTGTAAAACCAGTCTGTGTTTTGTCTTGTAATTCTATATATGATGTGATTTATGGTGAAACAGAAAATCAGAAGGAAGATGAAAGATTTGGTAATAGGAGCTGCAACTACTAAGTAGTGGAAGAACTTTCAGAAGAAGACAAAAATAAGTTTTATCTTCATGTTAGAAGTTATTTCTGTCGAGTATGTGATTACACACGACATAAATTTCCAGTCAACGATGAAGGATTTTGCATGCTAAAGTTGCTGATGTTTCTGCTCTAGCAAATGCATCTTTTTTGATATAAGGTACTTTTTGAACAGATTTCCTGTGTACTTTCGTTTAGTCATGAAAGATGATGATATTGATGTTGCTACTGATATATTGCAGTCGCAATTTTGCAGTTTACAATTAGAAACTTGGATGAAGTTATAAATCAGCTAGGATTGACACCCAGTGGAGGTTAATTGGGAAAATGAAAGGTGCTGATGGAATTTTAAAATATAGTGAACTCTCTAGAATTATGTTGGCCATCTTGACAGTTCCCCATAGTAATGCGGAGTGTGAGAGGATTTTCAGTGTTGTTGCGAAACGAGAACTAAATTTAGATCTAATATTAGTGATGACACATTAGAAAAACTTTTATTAGCGAAAGCAGCCTACGTGGCAATTGCTATGACAAAATTATGAAGTTTCTTTCTTAACGAGAGCAAAATCTGCCACTGTCCATACATTTGTATAAAAACTGATTAAAGTGCCTTTTTTTTTTTTTTTTTTTTTAAACGATGAAAGTAATAAAAATGTTTTTTATGTCTAAGGTATTTTTTGTTTTGCTGCATTAAGACTAGTAACTATTTAAAGTTAATTCATTATTAAAAACTATATTTTTATCATTTAAAAAGTCTTTTTAACATTGTGAAAAATCTCCTGATTTCTTAAAAAAATCTCCTGATTTTTGATGGCAAGTATGCTTTTTTAACTTAATGGGAAATTTTTTAATGTCTTAGATTGCATCCTGAAATTTTTATATTGCTCTTCTGAAAGCTTATAACATAGTCCTCACAAGTCATTCATTACTTTCGGCGTGGTCTTTCAGTATGATTATGTGTATTTTTTTTTTTTCCATCCATAAAAAATTATTGAATCTTTTGTCTCCCGTATGGGAAGAACAGTAGAGCATTTCATTATCTAAGGTATTCTGTTTTTAGTGCTTTTCTTCTCTATTGTATGAATTTATTTAATGTTTTATATTTTTAAAATACACTAAGATAATATAGGATGTGTTTGGTAAATATTTGCTCAAGATGCAAATAAGCTCCTAATTTATGTGCCGGTATATTGTGTGGTATTTAATTGTTGGTTGTTTCTTAATTCATAATATTTAAATCGAGCATTACATTTCACTCTAGAGAATGTTAGTTTTTAATTCACAATATAATAATTGCTTTTGTATTTAATTTGTTGCTATTCAAATTTCATATGTAATTTCATATATGATTTTGCATGGAGATAGTTGTGCTAAAATATTACTAAAATTCATAAATGCATAATTTTAGCTACAAAATAGGGACAAACTACTTTTAAAGCAAGAGAGAAATATTGAAGATAAGGAAAAAAATATAGAAAAAATGAAGAAACATGTTACCGAAATGAAAGCTGAACTGGAAGCAAAAAATTCAGAAGTAAGCTAAATTTTATTACATAGAATTTATGATAAAATGGTATTTTAAAGATGTTCCTCCGCTGGGAGGCGCCTGACTTTTAATCATATCTCTCAATCTCCTGGTTTTTAATTTATCCAGAATTGATTATCTCTTTTAAATATAGTTCTATGAGAATTATTGATAAATAAGTTTTAAAGGAAAAGGAAATGCTGTGAAAAATACTTTATGTCAAAAAAAAGTTTGATTAAAAAAGTGTTAAGGGAATGTCATTGTAATTTCTAAGTGAAACCTACATTGTGCAAATTAATTTTATTCTGTACATATTTTTCTGGTTAATATTTATTCAACCCAAACTGTTTTAATCCATTATAGAGATGTAGAGGGAATTTTTGAAGACATAATTAATATTTAATAGGTAAATATTTGTGTTTAATTTTGCTTTAAATATATAAATAGTATGTTATTAAGTTTATTCTATGGGACTATATACACATATACACATTAATTGTTTCTTTCTTTTTTTCTTTTTTTTTCCTCCCATCATGTTTAAAAGTTCTTTTGTAAATAAAAGGTATTTTCCTCTGCTGGAGCTTTTATCACTGTAAAACTTTAAAAAATTACAAAATTGAATGCAATTTGCAAAGTAAATGAAAATAAAATTTAGAGTAATGGCCTGAATATTAAAGCAATGCATTTTACATCATAACCCTATTGTAATTAAAAGGAACAGAAACATGCCAGTGGAATCCTTTTGAAGTCATATCATCATGCAGCATGACATTGCGCAGTTTTTTTTTTTTTAATTTGAAGGTTGGCAGCAGTGATATTTCATTTGCCATTGTTATTGTTTCTAATATGTCATAATTATATTTAATGAGTTGTTTTAATAAAATATGTTTAGTTAATTAAAACAACTAATAAGTTTAGTATATTTTGTAAATTCAATAAAATATACTAAACTGCATACTAAGTGTCTTTAGAAGCAGTTATTCTGTTTCAGGTAGAAAATTTGTCTTTTACTGTATCATCTTTAGAAAGAGAGATAAGTACCCTTAAAAAAGATGTCAGGGATAAGGATAATGGTGAGTTAATGAGCATGAGCCAAAATGATGTTCAATGTTTTGTCTGTATAATATTTGAAATTAAAATGATGTAAAAAATGCTCTATTCTATTGCAGTTATTAAATATTTAAATCGGCAACTCACTGATCTATTAGCAGTTCCTAAGTATACTTCTCCTGCAAATCTTGTGTCGAGTCCATCCACCACTGATCAGGTAGTTATATAAAATTTTATTTGTTTATGAATTTATTTATATGAAGTTGCTAACATTTTACATTATATTTAAAATTAAATGCTATTTCTTCAAATCTAGGCTATAAAAACAACTATTAATGCATCAAAGCCTATCAGTTGTGGTAGCCCATCTAACATTTCAATTCCTAGCAAAGGAAAAGCTCACTCAAGGTATTTAGTTATGTTTATAGTAAAAATAGTGCTATAATTTATTATTTACTGAATTTGTTTTTATTTTTCATTCCTACTCCAGCACATAGTACTTATAACAATCTGCTGTACCAGGAGCTACAGAACATTTATGTAGAGGCATGGCTAGATTTTCATATGATAAGCTAGACTTTTAAAGAAATAGCTTAATTTTAGATAACAAAACATTTAATTATAACATAACTATTACACATTAAATTAACGTTGGTGATAATTGCATCAGAGGAAAAGACTGACCAATGAAACGTGAAGTGACATCCCCCCCCCCCCGAAATCTCCATTGCAGTTGCAGTTAGAGGTATGGGCACACGGTTGCGAGTAAACACAAATTCAACTAAAGTCACCACAGTACTTTCCCTCCAGTGTCAATAAAATTAAATGTACCGAGGGTTAGAGGGTTAAATCAGACCCTACGTCCAGAACTCTATGCTGAGGAGCACTTTGCTTATAGAATCCAGGCACAGGTGATAATGTAGGGGCAATTGGAGGTTTAGTTACAAGGGATAAAGATGTAGATGTCTTCAAAGGGGGTGTAATATATAAATCTTGACAGTTTCTGGTGCAAAGATAAGGGCTGGTTTAGGGCTATCAAGGCTCACCACTGTCTCTTTGTTTCCAGTAAATATCCAATAGTTCTTGGCCAGGGCTAAAAGGCTGGTTTTTCAGCTTCTCGCAGCTGAAACTGGAAGAAGATCCTGATGACGTAGTTGGGTTCACTTGCTGCTTTGAGTATCTTGTTCCGCCTTCGGTTTCATAAGTATTTGTTTAAAAATCAAAAGGTAGGTTTTGAAGAATTGTTTGGTAAATAATATGAGCAAGAGATTTTATCTCATGAAATTACAATATATATGCATTTATATCTGACCTAATAATGTAGCTATGGCACATTTAATTAAAATATAGTATGCGTAAAACATAAGCATAAACTAGTATTTAAAGTTTGAATATACATTAAATATGTTTCATTTTTACACAATATTTTTTAAATGCAAATAGTAATCCATTGACAAAAACATGATAAATTTGTATATTTATGAAGAATTCTTTTTGAGTTAAAATATCACAAATAATGTCACAAGTTGCATTTTAGAAATATTAAATAAAATTATGCAAACAGACTTTCAGAGTACATGCTAGAAAGGTCTTACAAACCTATCTGAGTAAAAGTTAATTAATGCTAGTAATAAATTTCATAATACATTAAATTCAAATAAATTTCGCTTCATTTAATTTTGTTTTCAACTAGCTCTGGAAATGAGTTGATCAGATTTTCGTAAGCCTTGAAACTGACTATTATGAAAGCATTATTATGGATTATCAGAATTACTATGCAGCGTCCATTACTCATAAAATCATAAAAATATTTTAAATTGGTATTTATATACTTTCTTATGTATACTCACATATTTTTATATTTTAAAAATATGCATTCTAATGCTAATTTATCACTATGTGGAATTTCATGATTTATTTTGCATAGTTTTATGAATAGCTACAAAGTGCATAAATTAAATAATATAACAAATTACATGAATAATAAATCAAATGGTGATTTAAAATATTATTTTTAGTACAATAAAATGAATTAATTTACATGATTTATTTCCATTTACCTATTTTCTGGTTAGCTTTTCTTGCCGACGCAAGGGATGCATTCCAATTCAAGTGTCTTATTAATGTTCATAAGCAGCAAAATAAACAAAACGTGTTCTTATTGATGGAGGAAAAATGTTTTACAAGTTTAGAAATATGATTTTTAATTTCTTCTATACATTTTCAAAAATTTTCTTTGAACGTCCTGGAGGCCTTTTAAAGGAAAATGGCTCATATTTACCTATTATTTTGCAGGTAATGATTTGATTAATTTGCTTTATAAAATGCCATCTGAAGACAATTTAATTCGTTTTTGTTTCATTAATGCATTTATTTTTGTTTCTTTATATATGTTTTAAACATACATTTTCATTTTCCGTAATTTTCCATTTTCTTTATTAAATTTTAGCTCGAAAGGGATGTTAGTCACAAATGGGATATTAGTCTCGAAACGGCATTTTGCGTTGAATCACCGTAAACGACGTATACTTTTCAAATTGTTGCTACCAAATATTATCGCTCTGTATTAAAGAAAGTAAATAATGAAGGATCTGCATGAATGTATGCATGTTTCTCGAACTGTAAAAATCAACGGTATCTAGAGCCATCTAATTTTGAATAACATAATCCTACACCCGAACATGGGCATCTTTGAATTTTGAATTAGTTTTATTATCTATTTTATATTTTGTAAAACTTTAACAAATTTTTAATTAACAAACTCAATGGTTGCAATGCAAGCAGTAGAAACACTGTACAGAAAAAAGCATTTTTATCTCCAGCGCGTGAGACTGTGTTTCGGAAATTTTAAAGATATAATGTTTTTAAATATTTCGTGATTTTGCTGTTGAATCGAATTTTATGCGCCATAAGTATTTAATAAATAAAGCAAAACCCAAAACGTTAATAATAAAAAGGAAAAAAGTTTTGTAAAGTCATCTCAGTAAGAAAACTGAACATTGATATGATGAATTGACAAGAGACTGGACAAAAGCAAAACCAAAGAAAAAAGAAAAGTATGCTTGCTCTGCAACACATATGCAGCATTATTTTGTCTGCTGAATGTTTCTGTACAAAAACTGATGAAATATCATGTTTGTTTCCTTCATATTATGATATCAATTACCACAGGTTGCAACAGCACAGGGCCCCATTTTTTTCAATATTTTCCCAATACAAACACTTTATAAATACTAATTCATTTTAAAAGTATCCTCAGCTATAATTTTCTTGTAAAAGAAATATCTTTCAAAGAATCTAAGAAGTAAAGATTTAAGCTTTCGCACTGGTGAAACTCTGGTTAGTAGGCGAAGCGAGGAACCCAGTGACATCACATTGCTCTCCAAGAGAGTATGTGTCGGCATCATTCTCCTGAAAGAGATGAACCAGCCCTTCTTTTTCTTTAGCCCTGGTTCTTGGCTATGCAACACGTAACTAGATGGGGGCCTGTATAAAAACGCTTCAAAGACTTTTTGAAGCATTGCATTTAAAAAATGTATGTGAAGGTATAGCGAGCTGTTTGGGAATAAACACAGGTCACACATACCATGAGAAATACATAAGGAAAAAAACTCACCCACTTGACAAATGCACACCGATAAAATCCATGTTGTGGCAGAAAAAGGTACAAAATATCACAAATCACCTTGATACACTAATCTTAACCATGGACATGTTGCTGGAACATGATAATTGACAAATACGTTAAAGCATTCCACGTTGTTGGAACATGATTACTGGTGAATATATTAAAGTAATCCAACTGTGCAGCATTTTTCAAACATTTTTTTAAGTGAGGACTACTTTTATAAACTATAAATGTTAGGCACCACCTCATAATCATTAGCTAAATATTTAGTTTCTAGATTTTTTTTTTTACTTTTCTGTTTAATAGCGTTTACACCATAAAAAATTCGATAAAGATTATAAAAAAAAGTAAAAATCATTTCTGCTAGAAATTTCATCATGCTTTCTTTTGATGTAAAATCATCAAAGTGAATTCCAGCGGAAAATTTACTTAAATGTCTAAAAGCCAGACTTCAAGAATTTCTGTATCAAAATTGATGAGCTGATTTCCCCTGATCAACTCTATCTGAAATAAACACGTTTTGTTTCTCAAAATAAGTATTACAACCAAATTGAGGAATTAGCTTTGGGAGCGGCCTTAGTTCTGTCCTTGCTGAAATCTATATGCGTTATAATGAATAAAAATTCTTTGAAATTTTACTTCATTTGTCATACCACAATCATATTTATTACCATCGGGGTAACTGTTTGATGTAATAAATATGATTTTAATAAAATTCTTTCAGTAATGAATTCTGTTGATCCTCATATTCAGCTCACTTTTGAACTTGAAACATCCAATGCTCTTCCGATTCTGTACGTTTGATCGCACACTGTATCCAACTCGGACTACTATTTATCATAAATCTTTACCTATTTGCCTTCCACCACATTTCAAATCATGCCATTTGACTAAACAGAAGTTAGCTCCATTTTATTTCTTTGTGCACTTAGAGTTTGCTCCTCCTAATCAGCTCTTGATCATGAGCTAAATTACCTATGAGCACCTGCTATTGACAGAAGTTTTTCATCTAATGTTATTGACTAAGCAATTAAAATATTCTCATCTCAACACACTAAGAAGCACCTTTTCATTTTAGGAGATTATAAGAATTCAGTGGTCATTCCTTTCTTTCCATCCAGCACCGGGTCTTTGATTTTTCTGATGTGGGACAAAAGCTAAAACTGCCGCCCTCACCCATCATCCTTTAAGTTTCTCTAACAAGTTTTAATTTGTTTAATAAATACAGAAATAGATAGCGTTTTTGTTATATAAAGGGAAAATATGTACCAAAGTTTCATAATTAGAAAATCATCCTCTCCTAGGAGACTTGCCTTTCTGGTGAGCTTACTTTCAGATCCAATCCTAATCCGAACTCTAATCCTGAAGTGCTTCTAACCCTCCATTCCTCGCCACCATTCCTTTTTCCGCTCTAGGTTGGACGGGCATCTCCTAAGCCTCTCACTATTCTGTATTATTGCATACAGGTTAAATTAGGTTAGATTATATGAATATGGCAAAGACAAGAGGGCTATCTGATTATAGGATAGGTGCTTTCGTGGAGGAACTTTTTAAAAGAAACTGGCTCATATTCACGTTACACATAAAGAAATCCATGGAAACAAACCATGCAGCCAGCTATTCGCCTGGGTTTGAACCCTGGCAAGGTCGAACCACCAGTATTCAGCGGTCATAATCACTCGGCCACTGCTAAGGACATTTGTCTGATTATTTACTATGTGTTTCGCCATTAGGCACTGCATGGAAAAGGAGGAATGCCCCGTGTAAAAACATTTGTAAG